AATCTTCCAAAATGTAAAAGTCCAGGATCGGATGCCTTCACTAGTGAATTCTACCAAATATTTAAAGATTTAATACCTATAATTTTCAAACTATTCTGACACATTTAAGAAGAGGATATACTACCTAACTCATTTTATGAGGCCAACATTACTCTGATACCAAAATTTGGTAAAGATAACACAAGAAAAGAAAACTATAGACTAATATCTCTGATAAACAAAAGAAAAAATCTTAAACAAAATACAAACAAATTGAATACAACAATAAGTTAAAAAAATTATACATCACAATCACATACGGTTTAATCCAGGGGCACAAGGATGGCTCAACATATGCTAATTGAGCAATGTGATACACCACATATATCAAAATAAAAGATGAAAATCATGTGATTATATCACTAGATGCAGAAAAAGCATTTGTCAAGATACAACATCTACTTATAATTAAAACACTTAATAAAGTGAGTATAGAAGGAAAGCATTTCAACATAATGAAGGCCATATACAACAAATCCTCAGCTAATATCATACTTAATGGTGAAAAACTAAAAGCTTTCCCTCTAAGATCAGGAACAAACATGAATGCTCATTCTCATCACTCTTATTCAATATAGTAATGGAAGTCCTAGCTAGAACAATCAGGCAAGAGAAAGAAATAAAAGGCATCTAAGTTGAGAATGAAGAAGTCAAATTGTCACTTTTTGCAAATGACATGATTCTATATACAGAAAAATCTGAAGACTCAACTGACAAACTATTAGAAACAATAAATGAATATAGTAAAGTTGCAGGATACATCAATGTACATGAAAACAAAAAAAAATAGTGTCTTTTGATAGATGACTAGATAAAGAAGAGATAGTACATATATACAATGGAATATTACTCAGTCCTAGAAAACATGAAATACTGTCATTTGTAACAATATGAATATATCTTGAGATAATTATGTTAAGCATAAGTCAGACAGAAAAAGTTGAGAACCATATCATTTCACTCGTATGTGGGTTATAAAACTGAAAGCAACAAACAACACAAACAGAGACTCATGGACATGGACAACAGTTTAGTGGTTACCAGAGGGAAAGGCAGGTAGATAAGAGTTAAGGGAGGCAAATATACAGTGATGGAAGGAAATTTAACCTTGAGTGGTGAACATACAATAAAATATATGATGTATTATTGAATTGCATGTACCCTTGAAACCTATATAATTTTATTTTCCAAATGTCATCCCAATAAGTTTAATAAAAGAACAAAGAAGAAATAAGAAAAAATAACAAATAAATAACAAATTTATAGAAATTAAAACAAGAAATCTATAACTTCTTTTCACTTTAAATAGTACAAAAACTCTGAATCTGTCAGGAATAGATATATTGTTGGATATCTAAAAGGGTAGATATTTAAAAGAAATTTGAAGAGTTTGAGACCTACTCTTCTTGATATTGGATGTGAGAATTGTGCTCCCTCTTAACACCCTGTGATTGTCTCTGTCTTACCTTTTGTACTCTCCATTTATTTTTCCATCTGCCCTTCTAAACATCAAGTTCTTTTCAGACAGAGGCCAGTAGTTCTAAACTTTCTAGGAATAAAAAAATCACTTGAACTAATTGCAAAATATTTCCAGGCCCCACTTCAAATATTTCTTATTTAGGAGACCCTGGGTAGAACCTAGAAGTAAACATTTTACATACACTTCAGGAGGCTCACGTGTATGTAGTCCATATACAACCATTGTCGTGGACTATGCCATTCTCATCCTAGTCAGCCTTCCCTACCAAAATGATCACCAGAGTGCCCGGGACTTTGTCAGTACTCAATAGTTATTGATTAAATTCATGAATTGATGAATGCAAGAATAAATATCTGCTTTGATTACTGTATTTAAAGAGATGAATTTAGCAGATAAAGAAATGAAGAAAAGGTTAGAATTTGTGCTCCTTTAGAATTCAGGCATAACTGAGATGCATAAAGCAGGAGAAACATAGAAAAAAATTATCTAGCTTATTCAAGTAGCAAACTTGAAAGAGTAGAAAGAAACTATATGAAATCTATCAAGGATGGTATTTATTTAGTCCCTAAAAACAGTTCATTTATATCCAGAATTTGTAAGGCAAATGATTACGAGAAATACAGTTTATTATTTTATTCAGTAAGTAAAACTTTGAGTCAAAATGAATGACCCATGAAAATAATCATAGTATTCAAAGCTATCCATCTACATAGATCAAGTAAAGTAAATTATTTGATTTTTTTTCCCTTTACAAGTTTTCGTAATGCCTAGAATTAAAAGAAGTATCTCCTTTCGAGACCTCAATCCCCTGGAGTACCCTAACTCTATAAGACCCAAAGATTTCTCTGGAGCTTCTGCCATCAGGAACACTAATGTACTAGTATTGAAGCTGTCTACTTAGCTCCAGCCTGGCTACCAATCAGAGATTTCTTTTGTCTTTGAAGGATCATAGCACTTAGACTTTCCACAATCAAATTTGGAAGAAAAATTTAATGTCATTCCAAATTGTGCCTATTTCTCTCTCCTCTTACACTTTGATGTGATACAGGAGAAAGAAACCTGGGATTGTGGTAGAACTCTGCCTATACATGTAAGTGTTTTCTTTGTTTTACAGTTGTAAGACCACTCTTTTCTCTTAGCAATATTATCTGTCAATCCACTCTACAAATGTTTTGGGTACCAAAGAAATATTCAGATGAAGAACTGGTGAACACTATGCACAGGTGATGGGGGTCATAGCATCAGGATCCAGGCAGAAACACAGCAATAGAGACCACAGAGTGATGGCAGAGATCCAGCAGGACAAATCCCTATCATCTGAATATGGAGAGAGAGTAAAATTAGAAAAGTATAAGAGAGTATAAAACAGTAAGTGTTCCTAAAATAGACAACCTAAAAATTAGGAAGAAATTGCCTGAATAGCAGGGCAAATATGTAATTTAGCAAAAGGAAAAATGTATGTTATGTATTGAAGGTGGAAGATTAAGAGAAAGGAGTAGATGGAAGGATGGAGCAGATTGCCTGTATGAGGATCACACAGAATAAAGATCTATTTTCTAAGCTACTGGCGTATAAACACACAGTACAAAAAATATATATTAAAATTAAAGTGCAGGTTAAAAAAAGACACAGACCTGGATAGGGTAGTTTAGGATATTTGGGATCCAGTCTCCCCACTGCTGTTAAATAGCTATGCAACCTAGATCTTTACATTTTACTTCACTGGGCCTCAGCTTCTTCATTTGTAACATGATAGAGGGGCTGGCTACTAAAAGCTAACACTATTCAATACTTACAATGGACATTTATACTCACAAAAAAATGTTTTATTTCTATCATTTTTTGCCATTTCAAATAAACACCTGAGGCACAAAGAAGTGATTTCCACAAATTCATAAACTGGTCAGTGGCAGAGTCACAATTGCACCCCAGGTAGTCAAGAGCCTACATCCTTCCCAGTCTCGCTATGCTCCCATTCCAAAAAATGACCCCAGAACAAATTATAGAGATGTAAATGCACACAGTAATCAAAGTCTTAGGGATACTCAGGTATAAAGAATAGTAGGAAAGGAAATATGTTATTTGTAAAGATAGAGACAGAAATTAGTGATGTGCAATTGCAGCAAACCATACAGCTTACAGCTGAGGGACAGAGGTATGATCTACTCTGGACTAAAATACCTGAGATGATGATTAGGACAGAGAATTCTAGAAATGTCATGAGAAGTAATGGAAAGAACTAAGACTATTAGTCAGAAGGAAAATAAGACTCATAAAGGAAAATAATCACTTTATTCCAATAACTAAAGGTCTGTCATTTAAAAAAAATAATAATAACTTCTTGTGAGTATCTGCAGAGGGCAAATAAAAAAGTGATAATGTCTTAAGGGGGCATAGTTTATCTCAAATAAGGATGTTTTAGCCAATTAAGTCATCTAGCAAGAGAACAGCCTGCTTTGTGAAGCTTCTTATAATTTGACCCTGACTATGGAGATCGGATAATACTTCCCAGATTAATGTAAAAGGTCTACAGAATTGGGTTCAGATTGAATGAGTAGATTCTTGAGGATTTTCTGATACACACATTGTCTGATTGTCTAAGGCTAGTATGAAGGTTTAGCATAATGTATTCTTCGAATCAAACTGTTGATCTTTCCACAGATAATGGTGAGAGTTGTTCTGAAAACATTATAGAGACAACAGGTCTTGAGGCAGAGGCCAAAAGTATAGAAGTCTCAGCCTGAGCCTTGAGGCAGAGGCCAAAAGTGTAGATGTCTCAGCCTGAGCCTATGCTTACATTGTGAGCATAAATTGAGTTTTGATTAGATTCTTAACTTGAAATTCCCATACACTCACAACAAGTGAAACCTCAATATGTCAGATCATTCTGAGCCCATCCAAAAATCCTCACAATTTTTCATGAATAAATAAATCTCAATACTTTTAAATAAAAAATAGTATATTATATCTAAACAAGCAATATTTGAGTCAGTATATAAGGGACTGGGTAGATCAGTTTTCATTTATTTTTGTTTTTGTTTTTTTTTTCCTGAATCGTATTTTCATAATAAGTGAAGATAAATGATTTCTAAGGACAGTTGCTCTCATGTGGGTTAATCTTTTAAAGTCTCGATTTCTTCTTCCATAAAATGAGAGAATTAGATGAGACTAGCTCTAAATCACTTCTTGATTTGACACACTATGTATGAACTTTCTATAAGAATAAGAACACAAAGAATAGGAACAACTTTAAAAAATAAAGAAATCTCTTCAGATATCTTTAAATTGAGATAGTACTTGGTACTATTTTTCATGCCTCTTGTTTTCCCCCCGTCATCACCCCTTTATCTGTGTGCTTAACTTGTGTGTTATCATCAGCTTTGTGCAGAAGCACAAATGGAGGTTGTTTGGGGCATTTCACAACTGTCACATTCTTTCTGTTCTCAATTTCAGGATATCTGATTCTGATACCCACTGACCAATGAAGAGACAAAACCAGAGTGTGATTACTGAGTTCATCCTTATAGGCTTCTCAAACCTGGAGGGTCTCCAAATCTTTCTCTTCTTTATTTTCCTATTGGTTTATCTGACCACTCTGATGGCCAACGCCACCATCATGACTGTCATTTGTCTGCATCAAGCTTTGCACACCCCTATGTACTTCTTTCTCTTTGTCCTCTCTTGCTCTGAAACCTGCTACACCTTGGTCATTGTACCAAAAATGCTGACCAACCTGCTTTTCACAAGTCCAACTATTTCTTTTTCTGGGTGTGCTACCCAGCTCTATTTCTTTGTTGGCTTGGCTTGTACCAACTGTTTTCTAATTGCTGTAATGGGTTATGATCGCTATGTGGCTATCTGCAACCCTCTCAACTACACACTAATTGTCAACAGAGCCACCTGCCTGCAGTTGGTTCTAGCCTCCAGTTTCTGTGGTTTCCTGATCTCTGTGGTTGTCAACATCCTGGTATTTAGTGTACCCTTCTGTGCTTCCAATCGGATCAACCACTTTTTCTGTGACATTTTCCCTGTCATAAAACTGGGCTGCACAGATACCAGCCTGAAGGAGATGGTTATCTTCTCCCTCAGCATTCTGGTGTTGCTGGTCCCCTTTGTGTTTATCCTTATCTCTTACATCTTCATTGTTTCCACTATCCTTAAGATCTCCTCAGTGGAAGGACAGTGTAAGGCCTTCACCACCTGTGCCTCTCACCTCACAGTGGTTATTGTCCACTATGGCTGTGCTTCCTTTATCTACTTGAGGCCCACATCTCTATACTCCTCAGATAAAGATCACCTTGTGGCAGTGACCTATACTGTGATCACTCCACTACTCAATCCCCTTGTCTACACACTGAGAAATAAAGAAGTGAAAATGGCTCTGAGAAAGGTTCTCAGTAGACACTCATTTTCAAAAACTGTATAAACTAGTTGATTGGTCAGGAAAGTGTCCTGGATGAAACTTTAATTCTATGTACAAATTATTTTTGTCTAAAAGAGAAAAACGGAAATGAGGATTTCAAGTTACCTTGATTCCTTTTACTTGAAAGTCTTTCTTCAAGTTTACTCAATTTCCAGTGTAGAGATTATACATTGATCTTCAGAAAGCTGTGTGAATGTGGTAAATTTCAAGGACTAAAATCCATGATATTTTCATGCATTAAAAATGCCAAGTTTCTCAGATAAACATGACAAATGATGCATTATCTTCCTGAGAATGCACAGCTTGTTGATATTCATCCTACACTAAAGGAAGTAGTGGAGAATATAGTTTAAGTTTTGAATGCATGTTAGGCATGTTAGGCAATATATGGATATACATACATATTTGTATATGTGTGTGTGTGTCTATACATACATACATACATATATATATTTGAGAGAGAGAGAGAGAGAGAGAGAGATACACATATATAGAGAGAAAGAAGAGGTTAAAATATTTACGAAAATAAACTATTTATAGATAAATATGGATAAAGGAGGAAATTAAAATTCTAAGAAGCTAATGATAGAAAAGAAAATACGAACTGGAATCCTAAACCTGGTTTTAAATCTTAATTTGGATAATTTTCCAGTTAAATGTCATGGGTTTAACCTCTCTTATGGTCTGTCATCACCTATGCAACCTGAGACCCTTACTGTCTCCTTGGTGAGGCATTTTAAGAACTAAATAAGTTAATACATGAAAAGCAATTCCATGCTGTCTCACAGAAGACATTCAAAATATGTATTAGTTCCCTTTCACCTGTTTTTTATTTTCTTTTCTTCTTTTAGTAAACTAGAATCGTACTTAATGTGAGATATAGTATGAAAGTAAGTTGACTATTCAAGATTCTGTTCATATATCTGCTACTAAGTGAAAAACATTAAACTAGGTATTAAAGATAAAGAGTAAAATACAATCTTTTTTCTTTCATTTCTCACTATTAGGAGTGACCAAATTTCAGTCATGTTTATAGGTGCATTATATATATTTGGCTGAGTTTGCCATGAATTTTGTTAAAGGTGTATTTCAATAAAACAACTAAATTTTATTTGATGCTAATTTCATAAAGTTTTATTTCTCATGCTTTCACTTAAGCAATATGTAGTTTAGGAGCTCTTGCTTGGAGTGGGAGGAATAATCTAGATTTATTTTTAAATTAAATTTATTGGGGTGACATTGGTTAATAAAGTTATAAAGGTTTTAAGTTTACAATTCTGTAATACATCATATATATATTGCATTGTGTGTTCACCACCCAAAGTCAAATCTCCTTCTGTCACCATATATTTGACCCCCTTTATCATATTCTAACTCCCTCAGCCCACTTTTTTTTCTGATAACCACTAAACTGTTGTCTGGAATAACCTAAATTTAAAAGTAAGTTGTCTTACATAATTGCTGAGCATGCACCAATAACTTAAACTCTATAAATTGGTAATAATTAAAATAGGGTTGTTATAAGGATTAAGTGAGGAAGTGCCTCACAGTGTATCTAGCATGTTGCTTCAAAATATAACATGCATGTGGTAAATTTTAAACCTTAACATTGTCATTATATGCAATCTTGAGGGATAAGAGAAAAGATTAGAATGCAGAATATACAAATAAAGAAGAAAATAAGCCAGATTTGGTAGAACAACAACAACAACAAAAAAAAAAACAGAATAGAATAATAAAGAAGTGATAGCAAGCCTAGCTAAATGTACTTTATATCAACAGTGATTGATTGATTGACTGATTGATTTAATCAGAATTAGGGTGTTATTTATTTATTTATTTATTTATTTATTTATTTATTTATTTCACTACATTAACACTAACTGCATTCCCTACGCTGTCCACCCCATCCCCTTGACCATCTGTCAGCTACTAATTTGTACTTCTTTAACACTTCACTCCATTCTCCTACCCCATCAATCCCCTTCCCCTCTGGTCATTACCAGATTGTCCTCCATATTTGTAAGTCTGATAATTTTGTTCTTTTTGTTCCTTAGATTCCTCATATAAGTGAAATCATGTGGTATTTACCTTTTTCTGTCTGACTTATTTCACTAAGCATAATAACCTCTAGGTCCATCCATGTGGTAGGATTTTATTTTTTATAATGGCTGAGTAATATTCCAAGGTATATATGAACCATGACTTCTTTATCCAAGTTTGTTGATTGGCATTTAGGTTGCTTCTACATCTTGGCTACTGTAAATTGTGCTGTCATGAACATAGGGGTCCATAGATCTTTACAAATTATTGTTTTGGTTTTCTTTTGATAAATACCTAGAAGTGTAAAAGCTGGGTCAAAAGGTATATCCATTTTTAATTTTTTGAGAAACTTACAGACTGTTTTCCATAGTGGCTATACCAATCTGCAATCCCACCAACAATGTAGGAGGGTTCCCTTTTCTCCACATCCTCACCAACATTTGTTGTTTTTTGATTTATTGATAATAGCCATTCTAGCAGGTGTGAGGTGATAGCTCATTGTGGTTTTAATTTGCATTTCTCTGATGGTTAGTGACCTTGAGCATCTTTTCAAAAGTCTATTGGCCATCTGTATTTTTTCTTTGGAGAAGTATCTGTTCAGGTCTTCTGTCCATTTTTTAATTGGATTGTTTATTGTTTTGTTGTTGAGTTGTATGAGTTCTTGATATATTTTGGATATTAACCCCTTATCAGATGTATCATTAGCAAATATCTTCTCTCAAACAGTCAGTTGTCTTTTTGTTTTGTTGATGGTTTCTTTTGCTGTATAAAAATGTTTTAGTTTAAATAGTCCCATTTGTTAATTTTTTTCTTTTGTTTCCCTTGCCTGAGGAGATATATCTGAAAAGAAATTCCTATTAATAATATCAGAGAGTTTACTGCCTATGTTTTCTTCTAGAAGTTTTATGATTTGGGGTCTTACATTTAAGTCTAAACCATTTTGAGTCTATTCTTGATACGATGTAAGAAGGTGGTCCAGCTTCCTTTTGTTACATGTATCTGTCCAATTTTCCCAACATCATATATTGAAGAGACTGTTTTTACTCCATTGTATATTCTTACCTCATTTGTCATATCTTAAGTGAGCATATTGGCATGGATTTTATTCTGGGCTCTCTATTCTATACATTGATCAATGTTTCCGCTTTTATGCCAGTACCGTGCTGTTTTGATTACTGTAGCATTGTTTGATATCTGGTAGTGTGATACCTCCAACTTTGTTCTTCTTTCTCAAGATTGCCATGGCTGTTCAGGGTTTTTTACGGCCCGTATAAATTTTAGGATTGTTTCTTCTATCTCTGAAAAAATGGCATTGGCATTTTGATAGGGATTGCATTGAATCTATAGATTGCTTTGGGTAGTATGTTCATTTTAATGATGTTGATTTTCCCACCCATGAGCACAGTATTGATTCCCTGGTATTTTATAGTTTTTGACACAATCGTAAATGGGATTGTTTTCTTAATTTCTCTTTCTGAAAGTTTATCATTTGTATGTAAAAATGCCACTGACCTCTGAATATTTATTTTGTAACCTGCTACTTTACTGAATTCATTTATCTGTTCTAATAGTTTTTTGGTGGAATCTTTAGAGTTCTCTATATATCGGATCATGTCATTGGCAAATAATGAGGGTTTTACTTCTTTCCATTTCAGATGCCTTTTATTTCTTTTTCTTGTCTTATTGTCGTGGCTAAGACTTCCAATACAATGTTGAAGAGGAGTGGTGAAAGTGGGCATCTCTGTCTTGTTCCTCATCTTAAGGAAAATGCTTTTAGAAAATGCTAGCTGTCAGTTTGTCATATATGGTCTTCATTATATTGAGATATATTCCCTCCGTTCCCACTTTGCTGAGAATTTTTATCAAAAATGGATGTTGGATTTTTTCTAATGCTTTTTCTGCATCTATTGATATGATCCCCATGGTTTTTATCTTTAGATTTGTTAAAGTGGTGTATCGTATTAATTGATTTGCAGATATTGCACTAACCTTGCATCCCAAGAGTAAATCCAATTTGATTATGGTGTATGATATTTTTAATGTATTGCTGAATTCAGTTTGCTAATATTTTGTTTAGAATTTTTGCATCAATGTCATCAGAGATAAGGCCTATAGGTTTGTTTTGTTTTGTTTTGTTTTGTTTTGTTTGTAATGTCTTTGCTTGGTTTTGGAATCAAGGTTATGGTGGCCTCATAAAAGGAATTAGAGAACCTTCCAACTTCTTGAATTTTTTGGAATCATTTGAGAAGTATAAGTGTTAATTCTTCTTTGAATGGTAAAATTTGCCTCTGAAGTCATCTCTTCCAGGACTTTGTTTTTTGGGGAGGTTTCTGATTACTAATTCTATTTCATTGGTGGTGATCAGTTGGTTCAGATTTTCTGTTTCTTTTTCACTCAGTCTTGGAAGATTGTATGCTTCTAGGAATGTGTCCTTTTTTTCTAGATTGTCCAATTTGTTGGCATATAACTGCTTGTAGTATTTTCTTATGAACCTTTGTATTTCTGTGAAGTCTGTAGTTATTTCTCCTCTTTCACTTCTGATTTTATTTGGGTCTCTCTCTTTTTTCTTTGATGAATCTGGTTAAGGGTCTATTAATTTTGTTTATCCTTTCAAAGAACCAGCTCTTGGTTTCATTAATATTTTGTATTCTTTTTCTAGGCTCTATTTCATTTGTTTTCCCTCTGATTTTTATGATTTCCTTTCTTCTATTCACTTTGGGCTTTGTTTGCTGTTCTTTTTCTAGTTCTTTTGATTGTAAATTAGATTGTTTACTTGAGCTTTTTTGTTGTTGTTTCTTGAGGTAAACCTGTATTGCTATGAATTTCCCACGTAGGATTGCTTTCGCTGTGTCGCATAAATTTTCAGTCATTGTGTTTTCATTTGTCTTTAGGTATCTTTTGATTTCTTCCTTGATCTTATTAATAACCCATTCATTGTTAAGTAGTATGTCATTTAGCCT